TACATTTCATTGTCATGTTTTCCTCTCCTTCTGACATATTGTGAGCCTAAAATGCACAAGTATGGAAAATTAATATCCCTGGCTAATAAAAACCATGCTTTTAAATGGTAAATACTGTTAATGTCAGCAGAGATCATATCAGATGATAATCTTGTGGATACTACTTACTTGTTCTTACTTTATTTTGTGTAATGATGTTATTTTACCGGTAATAGAAAATATGGGCCTTTGACAAAGATTCCTCAAATAAATAAGGATTTTTTTGTATTCCCATGGGAAAAAAAACAATGTATGGTAGCGTAGATGTTAAAGCAGAGCACTAATGTTCCAAGAGGACTGCAAATATGCGATCCAAGGCCCAGGCTGCCACCCTGAATCCCTAAATGAGACCCTTAGCCCCTAAGAGACAGGATAAATACAGGGCAGTTTTTTCTGTTACAACATTCTGTCTATAGCTGGGATGCACAAAGGAATCTTCAGTTGACCTGTTTGATTGCCCATTGCTAGTGATATGCTGGTTGGAAAGTCCAATCATTGATTAAGTTTTCCAGTTAATGAATGAATCAAATCTATTCTGCATTTGGTTGTTCTAAAAGTAAAAATAAAACTATTTTCAATATAAAAATTATTACAGTGTAAATGATAGCTACTTGTTATTAGCTTAGTTTTAAGGAACAAGGTGGCCTGTCCAAATTTACATACCAAATGTAAGAAAATATTTTTACACTGCATAAATGAGGCCTGTTTTGTGTTAGTGCTCTTTAGACTACACTGCCAAAAGAAAACAGATAGCACTGGCTCAGAGTAGGATCCAACCTCAGGACAAACTGGGAGGGAGACATTTTAGGTCCTAGAACCACCTGAAACCACCTTTATTGTGGAGTTATTTTTGTGTTTTTATTTAATTCAAATAAAAAAGTGATTTAAAAGGGGAAAATATATTTTAAAGTAAAATATATATATATTTCTTAGAGAGAACACATTTATTAAACTGATGACTAAAGAAAAAGTTTTGAGAGAAAATATATTGTCATAGAATAAATAAAATATTAATTAAAATTTAGAAAATGAGTTCCAAGGGGAGAAAAAATATCTGAACAATATATTTCTCTCAAAAGCATTTCTTCTCTCCCTCAGAACCCAAGTCTTTGCTGATTTTTTCTTTCGATGTAAAAATGTGTGATGGGTAGGCCTCCTTTCCTATTGGGCAGTCACAACTGTCTATTTTCACCTTTAGATTGCTTTTCCCTTAAATCTAATACAAAACACAAAAAAATGACTTCATAATTTATCGGATAACCATAATATGTTGGTAGAAATTATGCTATACACAATTAACCGGATGCCTTCTTTATTAGCCTCTTCACTACACTAATGTACCGTATTTAAAAACGCAAATGGAAAAAAATGGTCTTTATTCAAATGCAAAATGGGAAAAAGAAATGCAAAAACAAGTTCCAGAGAGTAATTTGCAGCTGACGCACAAAACACAATTAAGTTCTACCAGCTCAAAAAGCCATAGAGAATTCAGATGGAAGAATGTATTTAAACTAAAACAGACCAACAATTTTGGAGGAAATGCAGTAACACTACTTTCAAACACTTGTTTTCTGATGGTGCAGTTAATTGACTTGTTCAGGGTAAAATCCCAAGAGACTCACAGGTTTTATTTTAAAGAAATTTAATTTAATGCCAGAAGGCATGATTACATTAAAAGACAAATATTTCTTGAAAGAAAAAAATGATGGTAGCTATGAAGAAATTTATCAAAAGGAACTGGTTTAAAAATGAGCCACCAGTGGTAAAACAATTCTCTTGCAAGATTATTGGCAAAATAAAGAGTAAAAAGAAATTAAGGAAAGTCAGATGGTGCAAAGAGCTTCTACAAAAAGTTAAGACATTTGCAATTTATTCAGGCTGTGGGAAGGTGATGAAAAAAATAACTATTTTACTGAAACCTGTCTTAACCAAGAATTAGTATTAAGAACACCCAAAAAGCTACTGCTTATGCATCATTAAGAGGCTAAGCAAGAGTTATTATTCACAAAGAAAAAAACAAAACATGGTGGAACAGCTGGTAACCATCCTACCTGCCAAATTTACTTCAAGAACTGCAGGCCTCAATTTCCTTAGTTAGGGTCGAGCTTAATAAAGAGCATTTGAAAAAGAGACTGCATTAAATTGCTTGCATGGGAGATTATAAGGTAAGAACCAATGATGACCAAAGAGAAACCCATCTAACCTTTGGGGGGGAAAAAACACTCTTTTGTGCCCAGAATAACCACTCTAATCATGCTAATTGCTGCAACATCCTTAAAACAGTTAAAAATGTCAAGCCCAGTATCACTTTTTTTTCTTTTGTGCTTGTAAAACCCTGCTTTACAGATACTGCCCTCATCACTTCTGTTCCTGATTTAGGTAATGACAGCTCAGGCAGAGAAGTAAAAAAAAAAAAAAAAAAAAAAAGCAAAAACTCTGAGAGCTGTTCTTATTTGTTAGTAGGAAAAAATTTAATAAAAAAATCACAAAAATTGAGAATAGTACATTGTTTTTTTATTGCTACCTAAGTCTCTTAAATAAACTAAGACATTTTTTACACTTTTAGGAAGTAACCTTGCACAAATTTCAAAGCAGTGGATTTTCTTAAATATGCAATGGAATTAAAGCAATGAAGGCTAATTACAAGCATTCTTCACTGAATTAGCGTTCAGTGTGTGGTAAGGCTGTGCTCCCCTTGGTCTTGATCCCTAAACCGATCCCATACTTATTCCCCCAGGAGGTCAGAGGTCACTTGGTTAATTAAGGGTCCAATCAGTCTTTAGATAAACTCATCTGAGCTTAATGTTTGCACTCTCTACGGTTCAGCAGCTCTGCCTGGTACCCCTGAGCTCTGTGTGGACTCTGCTAATCTACCTACAGACAGGGAGCAGGTTAACCCAGCTCAACAGTGCAAAACTGGAACCGCCTTTTGATTTTGAAGACCTCAGTCAGAGAAGAATTTCTGTAAGCTCTGCCAAATGCAGAGAAATTACTCTAACTTTATGTATTATACTCAGGGTGAGAGTTCAGAGTGGGGGCGTCCTAAAGCTCTCAAAGACCTCCAGATTATGGAGAGCAGGTCTTGTTTATCCTGAAAGGAGAAGGTAATCACTTCAATGTATTTGTTTTCAAAGTTGACCCATGCAACACAAACCCAGTGTGAACAAAATATGAGCACATAACCTCCAAATGTTTGTTACAGATGGATTAAGTATTTCCCTGTAACTTTAAAGGAAATTCTCCATCTTCAAAAATTTTAATAATTTGTTTTCCTTTAGAGATCATGATAAGTATCACTATTTTAAAACAGAAATTGGACATTTCATTGGAAAGGCATCATTGTAACTGGAAAAAGGAAAACATTTCTACCTTTTAATACATTGCATTTATTTATAATGAAAGAAACCTAGGGAGAAAAACCCTGTGTTTTACATACTCACAGATAATTAAATTAATGCAACTAACTGTCCTGATTAAAACATCCAACTTAAGTGTTTTTTTAAAATGTATACTTTGTTGTTAGTCAATTATTAATCTGGGGCTTCTTCCTAAACCAGGATGTAAATGTTCTGCATCACAGAATCAATTTCTCTTATCCATTTTTAAAAATGGGAAAAGGGATGAAAAACCTCCAAACATTAAGGCAGAATTTGACTATAATGACAGTCATGGAAACGGTCTGTGAATTATCCATGTGAGATTGTGCGACTGGAAAAGGCAATTAACTCTAATACTTTTTACAGATCTTTACTAGCGTACTAATAAATGTGGAACGCACTGAATTGACATACTTATCATTTTGTGCAAACAAATACAAATTTTTACTTTTCAATAGTCAATTTTATCTTTACGGCTTCTAAAATGTCTATGTGAATTTAAACAGCATCAAATCCATGACTGACAAAGCATATGATTATAATTTCTATGGCAGTGATTAAATTAAGAAAAAAACATTACTAATGCTGAATGAAATTGAATCCTCTCAGCAAACTAACTTTAAGAAGACTAATGTGTTCTTATGCACTTTCTGACACATAAACTTCTATATATGTTGTATATTTGATACAAGGGAAAATGTAAATGGTTCCAAAAAAATACCATCAAATATACAACATATAAAAGCTAACTCCTTCATAAATAATTGGAAAAGTTATTTTCCCAATAAAACACTCAAGAAAACTGCAAGTAATGTTCTAGTAGCATTCTGTGTCCAAAAAAACTTTCCAAAAATCACAGCCACATGCAAATGTTTTTCATATCATAGAAATAAATGTGCATAAAGGGAAAACATAGAAGTAAATAGTATGGGAGCATATTTATAAAAGAAGGATCAAAAAGTGTAGATGGCGATGAGATTTTCAGTAGGGTTTACATTTATGCAACACAACTCAACACATTTTCCAAGGATATTCATTGTTAAAAGAAATCGCTAAAAAAAAGAAATAAGATTTAAAAAAATGCACGGTGGAAAACGTTGAAGAATAAAACTTACCTATATGCTTGATGGAAATTTAAAAGCAAAACCCACTGCTCTCTACTGAGACAGAAAATCTGAACAGTCTTCTGTCCCTCCGGCTGCGAGGGAATCAAAGCTACGAAAAGATGTGAACGTAGCTGAGCAAATAGGATTAAAGATGGCTAAAACCAAACGGCTGGAAGCACAGCGTGCATTAAAGAGGAATTCTCTCAGGAAAGATAATCCTCATATTCACATTTTAACACACTTCACTCACTCCTGGGTGATTTTTCTTTTAGATTTTTTTTCAGCCAGTTGTAGTAAAACCACAACTGCCTGACTGCCCACACTCGAGTCACCAGCATCTATTAATACAACTGGACCCTTTAGACTGGGGCAGTGACGCATACAACTTCCAGAGATGGAAACTTTATACAGAACCAAGCCTGCTAATTAAAAAAAGCTGACACACTCCACCTCCTTCCTTGGAGCGAATGCCGCGTACCTTAAGCACCTCCATTGGCACCTGTGCTCCTTCAGGTACACCGACAGGGACGCTGACATTGATGGCAGGGGTCTGGGTCGCTGTGGTTTGTGAGTAATGGGAGGACTGTTGTCTTTGCTGCTCCCGCCGCTCCTGCTCTTGAAGCTGCTCCCGCATTAGCTGTTGCCGCAGCAGGATGCGAGATGTCACAGCCGAGGAGCTCAGTGGGGGCTTGGAGGAGCCATGCTGGTCCGACGGGCTGCTGTGGAGAGGAGGGGTAGAGAAAAGATGTCGAATGAGTGATTCCCAGAGAGCCTGACTACAAAGATAAGATGAGTGAAAAGATGGAGAGTTGAAGGTGCTATTAGAGGGAGTGTAGACTAAGGTCATGCGGGGAAGAAGAGGTCAAGCAGAGAAAAAAGAAAGGGATGGATAAAAGGAGGGCACAAAATTATAAAAAAAAAAACAGCAGACAAAATAAATTTCTGCTCTCCTCCCTGTACACCAACAGCTGCACCTCGGGTCACCAATTTGTCTAGGTCCTGAACTTTGCAGCTGACACAGCATTACTAGAATCATCTCTGGGGACAAAGGGTCTGTCTACAGGTAGGAGACTGGTGCAAATGGTGCAGCCAATGCAATCTGGAGCTCAATGCTCTAAAAATGGTAGAGATAAACTTTTACAAAAGCACAGCCCCATCCATCTCTATGAGTCTAGTCAGCACTGTGGACTCCTGCCTCCTGAACATCATCATCACATAGGATCCCAATTGAGAGCTGAACATCATCTCACTCACAACAAGGCACAGCAGAGAATGCACTTCCTGCAGTTACCAAAGTTCTTTCTGCCAAAAACAACAATGGTGCACTTCTACTCCAACATCAGTGAGTCCATCCCTCTCTCCTGAAAAGCAGCAAGATCAAGAGCAGACTGTAGTGTATTTCTGCAAAAAAGGTAACTGGCTGCAATCTTCCTTCTCTTCAGGAACTGCATGCCTCCAGGACTCGGAGGTGAGCAGGTAAGATTTCAGCTGACCCCTCCACCCTGGACACTACATGTGGAACTTTGGACTCTAGTACAGGCTGGACTATGCCAGGCCTTCCCCCATCTTCTGATCCTGTTTGTGGAATTCAATGAAAGTTTAAATATGGGCAGTAGCTTGCTTTGCTTGGAAATCTAAGTGACTGATTGTCAGGCCTGTTTCACAGTGAGATCCTAGAATGTGCAACTGGGAGGATACACCAAGGCAGACCCAAAACCTTCTGGAGGGATTGTATATCCATTCTGAATCAACCTATACTGAGCCTGAAAGTGTTTAAAGGGAGGGGATTTTATTGTAGCACGGGGTAAATATATTTTCAAACTCTGAATAGATTCTCATATTAATTTTTCAGATCGAATCATATCACAAAATACTTTTTTCCCCACTGTCCTTACACAGCAGTTTCACTACTGTTATTTATTAACTTGCTGTTTAATGTCATTATCTTACAGTATGTCATTAATATCATTATGTTGCATAGCTAAAGAGTCTTGTAATTCGGGTAACAGTTAATTTGTTCAATACCAGCAGCAATCCAGTTTAATATTGGATCAAATTAAGTTGCAACCAACAGTCAGGAAAAAGGATGTACCCTCCAACATCCAATGTGAACAAGAAGAACCTCCATCATGCGGCAGAGAAAACGATGGATGGATGGATGGATGGATGGATGGATGGATGGATGCTTCAGGTCTGTTTCTTTTTTTCCTAATTCTTATTTAAAGGACCCATTTTTCATAAACATTTGAGATTTTAAGAACACATTTAGGAATATCTGCCTACAGGGCTCAGAAAATGTATCACAAAAATGCCACCACTCCAGTTTCAGGGTCTGCAATATGCATATTGCAATGTACTCTTTGGAGGGCAGTAATTGCAGGCTAAAACATCCTGAATGTAATTTACTATCATTTCACATGCTAATGTAATGTTTAGCCAGTACCACAAAGTCCAGCAGCAGAAAAGGCTTACAATGGACACAAATGCAATATTTACCAATACTGTCATGCAACATGGCTGCTCTGTGGAGCAGTGGGTAGCACTGCTGCCTTCTAGCAAGGTTGTGGGTTCGATTCCCAGCCCAGGGTCTTTCTGCATGGAGTTTTCATGTTCTCCCTGAGCATGCGTGGGTTCTCTCTGGGTACTCCGGCTTCCTCCCACAGTCCAAATACATGACTGTTAGGTTAATTGGCTTCTCTAAATTCTCCTTAGGAATGGGTTTGAATGGTTGTTTGTCTCTGTGTTGCCCTGAAATGGACTGGTGAGCTGTTTGGGCCCTTGCTGGAGATCATATCACCCTGACCCTCTGATTGCCCATTTCTAAAACTAACAACAGATTTTTAACTAAGTCAAACTACAACTTGGACATAGTCATACACGATATAAAACATAGGGTAATATAACTAAAGAGATAAAGATTATCATAAATTGTTTACATACTTTAATTCTGGGAACCTTTTTGAATCACTTTTAGAATGCTTAGATCCTTTCCATCAACAACCTCATTGTTGGTGGAAAGGATGTGGGCAGCTCTTCCCCTTGGCTGTACAGAGCTCAGTTAAAAAAAACAAAAACATTTCCTCTTCAGAATTCACTAATTAAATATATTGAAGATGGGGGCTTGTTTGTCTAAAAAGCAAGAGTACTTGATAATCTAAAAAGATCAAAATTTTATTTTTCGATTATATAGAAACTACGGTAATTAAATAACCAGTATTACGTAGGTCTGATGTTGTACAGTCCTGCTAAAGCAAACATTGACAGTAATACTTTTTTTAAAATAAACAGCGCATTACTGCATTACTGCCTAAAATCAGAGGAAAAAAACTAAAAGGGCATCTGTATGTGCAGTATAATCTCTGAAAGTGTATGCCTGTCAGTTCAGAACAAATGATGAAAGGGCTATTTCAGAATTTCTAAGAAATATGCTATCTGCCTATATTTGGAAAGATCAAACCTTTACTTCAAAGCTTTACAAAAAGGGTTTCTTAAAACACACAGTGAAACCTTTATTATACTAGTGAAAACCTGAAAGGAGCAATTATTAATGTTTTTTGATCCATTGACTCCATCTCAAAATTAGACCATTAAAAAACAAGACAGACAAATCAAACCTGCTCTAAATGATCCTATACTGACTTAAGTTTCTTTCAAAAATACTTTCCAATCCTTTAAACTTTGACCTTTATTTGTGAAATAAAAAAATAAATAAATAAAAAAAAACAATTTTCAGTTTCTGCAAACTTTGCTCCAATTTCATCTTGCAATCCCAATATCATGATTGATCTCTTTGTCGGACTCTTTTTATTGGAAAATAAAGGAAGTCGGTAGAGGGTTTTATGCAAGAATGTTTTTCTGGCCCATTTTCTACCCTGCGTGTTTCCTTTGTGAGCATATTTTTATAACTGTCTAATACAAACATAACTTTGGTTGGAAAAAAAAAAAAACATGCAACATTTCTCAGATGAACTGCTTTTGTCATTTTTGAGACTTATTGTTTTAAGATAGTAGAAGTTAGCTTTTTTTTAGCATGTCAGTCAATCTTAGTTTCAGCAGCCTCTGGGTCTGACTAAACTGGATTTATTCTAAATAAGGAAAGAAAGAGAGCCATCTACCACAGGTTAGTTATTAACAAAATTAAAAAAATCTAACATGTCTCTCCCTAAATACTATTTCTTAAAACTCCTCATTAAATGTATCCTAAAAAAAGGTCATTTCATAAAAGACAAACCATTTTTTGAGAACACTGAATTGTTTTAAGCATAAACTTTACAAAGTTTAAGATTCACAGATTTTACCCTCTGCGAAAGAGGAACTTTAAAGAACAGGCTTCTTCAGTTTTCCCACTCTCTTAAATTTAGACGGCTGCTCCCCAGACAAAGTCTAGCAGTCCTAAAATAGAGAGACTCTGTTGAAGCAGAAGTTGTCGGGACGAAGCCTTCATCGAGTGAGTGATCCTTTTGATACAACACCGTAAAAAGTCTGGCCAATCCAGCTGTGCAGTAATCGCACTAATTAGCCAGATCGGTCAAACACTGCCTCTGTCTGTGGCATATTCACTGGCTGTTGAGCCGTCAACGTGCTATAGTTCTCTTCCAGCACCACGTATAGTCTCACGGTCTAATACCTCACGGACTGACCTGTCCTCCGGTAATCAGAGGGAGACAATTAGAGCCAAAATCGTTCATATTAAAGAACAAAAATTAAAAGGAAAAGCTGAATTTCAGCTTGGTCTTAAAGCTCTGCAGAGGTTTAAGTCGTTCAATCTGACAGTCATTTCCTTTTTCTACAAAAGTTCCTTTGAACTGTTTTTGGTACATGGCATCAGCCTCTGAGTGTTTGGCTTTAGGCGACTGTGTTTCCTTTTATTCAAGAAATTTCTAACAAAAGATTCAGGATCTACGATTGAAACTTTTTGTTTCCACTGAAGGCTTTTTGTTCTCTTTAATTCCTTAATCTGCTTCTCTCTTTGAATGTTTAAATTCCTAAAACAGTCCAACTCTTTCATTTCCTTTATTTCCTCTTTTCTTGTGATTACATGGAACAAATTGCAAAAATATTACAAACTTTAACATGTTTATCTGAGGTAGTAATATAAAACAATAATTACTAATACATACTTCAAATAAAATAATATAAAACCGATCACTACAGTTTGGGGATATTTTTATTGTTTTGATTTTTATTCAAATGACAAAATTAGTCTTTTAGAACAGATGGAAATCTGTCTTCTTTTCTCAGCCACCTAACCACCAGTCTAAAGTAACACATGGGGAAACACAGATGGCTTTCCTTTCCTATAAGTTTTAATCATTGAGAGTAAACTGTTGTAATCCTAGCCTTCTGTGCTCCTCTATGTGAAGAAAAATTGGTTCTTGTATTTGCCACTTTGTGGTTTTACCAGGGATGTGCTAGGGAAGGTGACAATATGAAAATGCAATCCATACCCAAACTCCTCTTTATACCTCCTAGATACAGTGTTGATTTTTTTTAGAGTTTATAGGGATTGAGCAATTCCAATTAGTTTGCAAATGAAGCTACTACTACACCACCCATGGTGGTACATTTTTAGCTTGAGGCTTCAATTAGCCAACTATGAACTTCTCTGATCTGATGCATAGCCTTTCCTAAAAACTGTGATGCTGAACTTTGGGCAAGATATTTCGCCAAGCTGTTAATGAGCAAAGTCCAGGAGGCTACTGAATATTGCAGAATAAAG